ACCTGGATTACCCCAGCTTACCTGGATTACCCCAGCTTACCTGGATTACCCCAGCTTACCTCCATCAACCCAGCTTACCTCCATCAACCCAGCTTACCTCCATCGCTACTTTTGCCTCCACTGCTTATACACCTCCATCGCTCCCTCTTCCATTATTCCTCCATGTATTATCAAATAATATCCTCAACTGACACCTACTACCAGGTACATAACCACTTCTCGGTGTATATACCGCCATTCCAACTACAGATCATGAGGCATTTTCGGAATATATTCCTCGAGACTTTATTTAAAATACCATCAGTTCAGTCGTTACGTAACTCTGATGTTAGTGAACAGGATGAACTATACCGTAAAATAACCCTCCGGCCACTTGATGAACATTAGAGTCAACAAAACTGTGCTGGAAACTGTCAGTATTGGGTCTCATGTTTCAACAATACTAACCTCTAACCCCAGGAGAGGGCGCTGAGTGTATATACACCGACTGTATGCGTGTGTATATACATGGAGACGGGTATACCCGAGAGTGTAAATACAGAGAGAAGTTAGTCAGTAGTTGTCGTAGGCACTTGTCGATGGATACTTGTCCGGGTTTGTTCGCGCGTGTGTGTGTACTCATCTATTTGTGGTTACAGGGGTCGAGACTCAGCTCCTGGCCCCGCCTCTTCATTGACCGCTACTGGGTCCTCCGTCTCCCTGCTCCATGACCTTTATTATACCTCGTCTTAAAACTATGTATGGTTCCTGCCTCCACTACATCACTAGCCAGATTATTCCACTTCCTAACAACTCTGTGGCTGAAGAAATACTTCCTAACATCCCTTTGACTCATCTGAGTCTTCAATTTCCAATTGTGACCTCTTGTTTCTGTGTCCCATCTCTGGAACATCCTGTCTCTGTTTACCTTATCTATTCCACGCAGTATTTTGTATGTCGTCATCATGTCTCCCCTGACCCTCCTGTCCTCCAGTGTCGTCAGGCCGATTTCCCTCAACCTTTCTTTGTAGGACATTCCCCTGAGCTTTGGAACTAACCTTGTTGCAAGCCTTTGCACTTTCTCTAATTTCTTGACGTGTTTGACCAGGTGTGGGTTCCAAACTGGTGCTGCATACTCCAATACGGGCCTGAAGTGTGTGTGTACTCACCTATTTGTACTCACCTATTTGTGGTTGCAGGGGCCGAGTCTTAGCTCCTGGCCCCGCCTCTTCACCGGTTGCTACTGGGTCCTCTCTCTCCCTGCTCCATGAGCTTTATCAAACCTCGTCTGAAAACTATGTATGGTTCCCGCCTCCACTACATCACTTTCTAGGCTATTCCACGGCCTGACAACTCTATGACTGAAGAAATACTTCCTAATATCTCTCTTACTCATCTGTGTCTTCAACTTCCAATGGTGACCTCTTGTTTCTGTGTCCCCTCCCTGGAACATCCTGTCTTTGTCCACCTTGTCTATTCCGCGCAGTATTTTATATGTCGTTATCATGTCTCCCCTGACCCTCCTGTCCTCTAGTGTCGTCAGGCAGATTTCCCTTAACCTTTCTTCATAAGACATTCCCATTAGCTCTGGAACTAACCTTGTCGCAAACCTTTGCCCTTTCTCTAGTTTCTTGACGTGCTTTATCAAGTGCGGGTTCCAAACAGGTGCTGCATACTCCAGTATGGGCCTGACGTACACGGTGTATAGTGTCTTGAACGATTCCTTATTAAGGTATCGGAACGCTGTTCTCAGGCTTGCCAGGCGTGTGTGTGTGTGTGTGTGTGTGTGTGTGTAGCTATCAGTGTATGTGCACATCAAGACTGACGGAATGAAGAGATCATCTCCAGACTGAGGAGACTGATTACCTCAAACTCCTTCTTTTCTTCCATCCATTTTCTCTATATTGAACTGACAAAGCCACTGGCTGGCGAAACGTCTCCAGAACAATAACACCCAAGTGCTGCTCAAGTGTCTCACTTATCAACTTGTCAGTTTTCTATACCATTTACGAAATACAACCAGAGGTTTGTAATTCTAAATGGACATACACCGGGAGGTGTGTGTGTGTGTGTATGTGTGTGTGTGTGTGTCTGTATGTGTGTGTGTGTTTTTGTGTGTCTCTGTGTGTGTGTGTATGTGTGTGTGTCTATATGTGTGTATGTGTGTGTGCCTGTATGTGTGTGTGTATCCATACATCTCAAGTGTATAAACTCTCGAGAGTGTATTCTAATCCTTGTATTGAGGATTTAATCAGTGCTGATGTCAGTATGTGAGGTAACAATGCTGATGTCAGTATGTGAGGCAACAATGCTGATGTCAGTATGTGAGGTAACAATGCTGATGTCAATATGTGAGGTAACAATGCTGATGTCAGTATGTGAGGTAACAATGCTGGTGTCAATATGTGAGGTAACAATGCTGATGTCAGTATGTGAGGTAACAATGCTGATGTCAATATGTGAGGTAACAATGCTGATGTCAGTATGTGAGGTAACAATGCTGATGTCAGTATGTGAGGTAACAATGCTGGTGTCAATATGTGAGGTAACAATGCTGATGTCAGTATGTGAGGTAACAATGCTGATGTCAATATGTGAGGTAACAATGCTGATGTCAGTATGTGAGGTAACAATGCTGATGTCAGTATGTGAGGTAACAATGCTGATGTCAGTATGTGAGGTAACAATGCTGATGTCAGTATGTGAGGTAACAATGCTGATGTCAGTATGTGAGGTAACAATGCTGATGTCAGTATGTGAGGTAACAATGCTGATGTCAGTATGTGAGGTAACAATGCTGATGTCAGTATGTGAGGTAACAATGCTGATGTCAGTATGTTAGGTAACAATGCTGATGTCAGTATGTGAGGTAACAATGCTGATGTCAGTATGTGAGGTAACAATGCTGATGTCAGTATGTGAGGTAACAATGCTGATGTCAGTATGTGAGGTAACAATGCTGATGTCAGTATGTGAGGTAACAATGCTGATGTCAGTATGTGAGGTAACAATGCTGATGTCAGTATGTGAGGTAACAATGCTGATGTCAGTATATTAGGTAACAATGCTGATGTCAGTATGTGAGGTAACAATGCTGATGTCAGTATGTTAGGTAACAATGCTGATGTCAGTATGTGAGGTAACAATGCTGATGTCAGTATGTTAGGTAACAATGCTGATGTCAGTATGTGAGGTAACAATGCTTATGTTAGTATGTGAGGTAACAATGCTGATGTCAGTATGTGAGGTAACAATGCTGATGTCAGTATGTGAGGTAACAATGCTGATGTCAGTATGTGAGGTAACAATGCTGATGTCAGTATGTGAGGTAACAATGCTGATGTCAGTATGTGAGGTAACAATGCTGATGTCAGTATGTGAGGTAACAATGCTGATGTCAGTATGTTAGGTAACAATGCTGATGTCAGTATGTGAGGTAACAATGCTGATGTCAGTATGTTAGGTAACAATGCTGATGTCAGTATGTGAGGTAACAATGCTTATGTTAGTATGTGAGGTAACAATGCTGATGTCAGTATGTGAGGTAACAATGCTGATGTCAGTATGTTAGGTAACAATGCTGATGTCAGTATGTGAGGTAACAATGGCTTTGATGATCCTGTTGCAGTCGAGAGGCTTCTCAAGTTCCTGTACAAGGAACTGTTAATTTTGCTGGTTACGCAGGACTGGTGGGAGAGGGTCACTCCCACCGATGTCCCCTTCGCTGTCAGGTTATTTGAGGTCACCCTGTGACCCGAAAGGTCAGAGGCAAGGTCCTGCTTCGTCTCGTACATTCTACTTATTTGGTGAAGCTGGACACAGACCAGTATTTATAATATAAATAATAATAGTAATAATAATAATAATAATAATAATAATAATAATAATAATAATAATAATAATAATAATTGTAATAAATTCTTCTTTTTCTATTATTATTATTATTATTATTATTATTATTATTATTATTATTATTATTATTATTATTATTATTATTATTTATTACTGCAGTATTTCAGGATACGTATTATATTATTAAAAGAACAAGCGCTAAACCCATTTGGGTGATTGAGCCGAATGGGTTTCAGAGCAACGTGATGCATAATAGGCAGGACCATGCTGGACCATGTACTGGACCAGGCTGGACCATTAAGACCATGAGCACCATGCTGGATCTTGAGGACCATGCTGGACCAGGAGGAACATGCTTAGACCATGAGGACCATGATGGACCTGGAGGAACATGCTAGACCATGAGGACCATGATGGACCTGGAGGAACATGCTAGACCATGAAGACCATGATGGACCTGGAGGAACATGCTAGACCATGAGGACCATGATGAACCTGGAGAAACATGCTAGACCATGAGGACCATGATGGACCTGGAGGAACATGCTAGACCATGAGGACCATGATTGACCTGGAGGAACATGCTAGACCATGAGGACCATGATGAACCTGGAGAAACATGCTAGATCATGAGGACCATGATGGACCTTGAGGAACATGCTAGACCATGAAGACCATGATGGACCTGGAGGAACATGCTAGACCATGAGGACCATGATGAACCTGGAGAAACATGCTAGACCATGAGGACCATGATGGACCTGGAGGAACATGCTAGACCATGAGGACCATGATGGACCTGGAGGAATATGCTAGACCATGAGGACCATGATGAACCTGGAGGAACATGCTAGACCATGAGGACCATGATGGACCTGGAGGAACATGCTAGACCATGGGGACCATGATGAACCTGGAGGACCACACTGGACCATGCTGGACCATGAGAACCATACGGGACCATGAGGAGCACGCTAAACCATGAGGGCCATACTGGCCATGAGGACCATGAGGATCATGCTGGATCATGAGGACCATGAGGATCAATCCGGACCATGAGGATCATGCTGGACCATGGGGACCATGCTGGACCACGAGGATCATGCTGGGTCATGAGGACTAAGCTGGACCATAAGGACCATGCTGGACCATGACTATCATGCTGGACCATGAAGACCATGTTTGACATGAGGACCATAAGGGCGAGTTTGTTGGACTTTTCACTTGTCATTCATTACAAATTTTGTCTAACTGGTTTTGTCTCACTGGTTTTGTCTAACTGGTTTTGTCTCACTGGTTTTGTCTAACTGGTTTTGTCTCACTGGTTTTGTCTCACTGGTTTTGTCTCACTGGTTTTGTCTAACTGGTTTTGTCTCACTGGTTTTGTCTCACTGGTTTTGTCTCACTGGTTTTGTCTAACTGGTTTTGTCTCACTGGTTTTGTCTCACTGGTTTTGTCTCACTGGTTTTGTCTCACTGGTTTTGTCTAACTGGTTTTGTCTCACTGGTTTTGTCTTACTGGTTTTGTCTAACTGGTTTTGTCTCACTGGTTTTGTCTAACTGGTTTTGTCTCACTGGTTATGTTTCTCTGGTTTTGTCTCACTGGTTTTGTCTCACTGGTTTTGTCTCACTGGTTTTGTCTCACTGGTTTTGTCTAACTGGTTTTGTCTCACTGGTTATGTTTCTCTGGTTTTGTCTCACTGGTTTTGTCTCACTGGTTTTGTCTCACTGGTTTTGTCTCACTGGTTTTGTCTCACTGGTTTTGTCTAACTGGTTTTGTCTCACTGGTTTTGTCTCACTGGTTTTGTCTAACTGGTTTTGTCTCACTGGTTTTGTCTTACTGGTTTTGTCTAACTGGTTTTGTCTCACTGGTTTTGTCTAACTGGTTTTGTCTCACTGGTTATGTTTCTCTGGTTTTGTCTCACTGGTTTTGTCTCACTGGTTTTGTCTCACTGGTTTTGTCTCACTGGTTTTGTCTCACTGGTTTTGTCTAACTGGTTTTGTCTCACTGGTTTTGTCTCACTGGTTTTGTCTCACTGGTTTTGTCTCACTGGTTTTGTCTAACTGGTTTTGTCTCACTGGTTTTGTCTTACTGGTTTTGTCTAACTGGTTTTGTCTCACTGGTTTTGTCTAACTGGTTTTGTCTCACTGGTTATGTTTCTCTGGTTTTGTCTCACTGGTTTTGTCTCACTGGTTTTGTCTCACTGGTTTTTGTTGATTGTGTTTGCTGAGATGTTAGGTTTGTTGATGTTTTTGTTATGGTTGTTTATCTGTATCGTTGTTGTTAATATTGTTGTTATTGCTGTTGTTGGTTGTTGTCGTTGTTCATGTTGTGTTTTCTGTTGTTCTTGCTGTTGTCGTCTTTGGTAGTGATGATAGTTGCCGTTGCTGTTGGTGGTGGTGATGTTGTTGTTGTAGTTGGTGATGGTATTGTTGTTGTCAGTTTGTAGCTGTTGTTACTGCTGACGTAGTTGTTGTTGTCACTGTCGTTGGTCTGTTGTTATCGTTGTTGTTGCAGCTGTTATTATTGTCCTTTTTTCCTTTTTCTTTCAGTGACTGTTTTCCTGTCTTTGTTGACCCGCTCGTTAAATATGTTCATTCGCCGAATTGGTGAAATTCCCATTTTCCTTAAGAGTCGTAATGATCAAGTTTTCTACCTCGTCGTTCTCTCTTTCGTGTGGTGGTTCTGTCACGAACACGGGATATATACACTAAGAGGTGTATTTCTCGCAGCGTATATATACGTTTGGAGTTTAATCCCTATATTAGGAGTGAAATATTCTTGTCTGGTTGGTGGTGGAAGGGTACAGACTTAATGACCCTAGTCCAGGGTGTTCCCAACCATTTCTAAGTCCCGCAACCCTAGGAACCAAGTACTACTGTAGGCGAACAAACTGATCTTAGAAAATTAAGCTCTTAACTCAGCGCATAATGTAAATATAAACTGAGCAATTAGAACAGTATTTTGGTAAAATAAACGGAATTGGACTGTGTCGGTCCTGTATAAAAATGTATGAGACTATGATCTGCCAGCGGATATAAGGACGTGAAAAAATACCGCAGTGAAACTAGGAAATGTAACCTGGGCACTTTCATGTGCTTATATACATACTTCTCTGAAGATGTGTGTAAGCACATGAAATCGCTCAGGTTTTATTTCCTATTTTGACTGTTGTATTTTTTATATTGGCAGTCACGCGTTTTATTGTGATTTCTTTCATATAAGGACATTTCGACTATTACAAACTGCGTGGCAGTCAATTGCTTGTTTTATATCGTAATTGGTTATTTTTTTTTAATGGACAGAGGACAACCTAACCTAACCGAGTAATTTACTGCAAACTGTATGTTAGAAGTCCACTTAAATGCTTGTGGGTGTTAAAAGGATGGGTTGGTAGTTGACCATCTGTTAAATCGTGGTACTGTCAATAGGCACTGGATGTGTTCAAGATCTGCTATGTAGTTGGTCTCGTTCCAGCTGGTATCGTTTCAGCTTGTCTCTTCATGTAAATGCACTGGTTATAAGCTAGATTTTCTCGAGCCATTTGTTCGCTTGTGCTGCCTACCATGGCGCTGTGAAAACAAGCCCTTGTGACGTAGGATACAGCAGGAGTCTTTGATCGTGTCTGGCACCCAGAACTCCTAGCTAATCTATAAAAACTAGAAGTGCTTGTGAGTCAGTCGGTGCTAGTGTACCACAAAGGAGTAAGCGTGGTCCATTGCTGTGGAATGTTACATGGGAGCGAGTTGGTCCATGGCTGTGGAATGTTTCGACATGGGAGAGAGTTTGGTCTATTACTGTGGAACATCTTCAACAAACTACCTTACCTCAGCCCCGAGTATATGCTTATTCAGATGACTGCACTGTAATATTTACATAAATAAGACAAATGAAAGAGAAAGGGAGAGAAAGAGATATGGGAAAATGGTGAGAACGTATGCTCCGCCAGTGCTGCATAATTCTGTTTTTCTCCCTCATACTTGTTGGTAAACAGGTGTCAGGGTCATATTTACCCCAATAAAAGTGAAAGCCTAAGAGCAGCGTCTTAGAAAAAGCCATCCTTGGTCAAGCAGTGATTATTTGGGGGATGACCTTCATTGTACGGGAGTGACCTCGGTCGACCTCTCACTGGCCCTACAACATGAAGTTCGTAAGTACTGAAGGTTCTCTTGACACTTACCACTGAAATCCGTCCTTTTCTATTATGAACCAAACCAGATTACCTCCTTTTCCCCAGGTTCTCTATGACCCCTACTGATTTAGCGTTTCCCATGAAAGTAATAATAATAATAATAATAATAATAATAATAATAATAATAATAATAATAATAATAATGTGAACCTTCATACTATTGTTTTTAACAATAATCGACTAACATTTTTTTTATTGTCCATTATAGTTCAATAGTCTGCAATAAATTAACAAAATGGCATATGGATTAGCTTTTAATCTGGTATCAAGTGTTCCATATTAGCTGGTGATCCTGGCTGTGGTTGCTGTGGCAGTGGCTGATAAACTGCCTGTCCTGCCCGTAGCCATCCTCCGCAGCCAGCAAATCAACCCCGACGCTGCTGGTGCCCACAGTTCCAACTTCGAGGCCGAGAACGGCATCCACTTCGAAGTTTCTGGCAAGGAAGGAGTTGATGGAGGATCCAACATGGCCGGCTCCTTGAGGTGAGTTACCTTTGATTTGGTCAAAGACCTTTCGGCAGCACAAATAACTATTTCTGCAAAGAATGCTTTGTATCTGGTTGCTGTATATAACAGCGCAGAAATAATGCTCGTCTTTCATGTTAATTTAACACTGCGGCATATTTTTTTTTCCAGCTACCCTCAGGAGGATGGCAGTGTAGCGTCAGTACAGTTCGTAGCTGACGAGAACGGCTATCAGCCACAGTCTGACTTGCTGCCCGTGGCTCTTGCATTCCCCCACAAAATCCCTCAGTTCGTCCTCGACCAGATCAAATTCGCCGAAGAGGAGATGAAGAAGAAGGCTCAAGAGCCATAAGACTCGAAGGGAGGCAATCCAGGCTAGGATTTAAGAGGAAATTTTCTTGGGTAAGACGTATGAGCAGAGTGACAAGGGTAAGACCCGAGAGAAAATTGCCTTTGTTAAATTAAACAAACGGTAGTCTGTGCCGAGTCAGACTTAACAGTCTATACTGAGTCAGACTCGAATAACAGTCAAGAAAATGCACCTCGAATGCTGCCATGGCTGGAAGTGACTTATTATGGGGGTTTAACTTCACCTAGTCTTCCTCGCTTTAGTCTAAATGAAGTCTTATGTTTTCAGAAAATTTACACGTATAGTCACTGCGTGACGAGTTCTGTGTGGTGTATTTATTTGTGAACCTTTGTTTTTTTTCCTCGGAATATATATGTACAAAACTTTATGTGCTTATATTTACCTACTAAATTTTGTGAGTGGTGCACACTCTGCAGCTGCATTTACTCCCATAAAATACGATTTTCATCATGTTTCAATTTTGCTACCCAGATCATCGAGCACTATCATGCTATCACTAATTGCTAGCTTAATCATCACTACTAATTATAGGAACATAAGACAGAAGAAAAACTAAAGCAGGCTTATTGGCCTACTATGGTCCAATAGGCCTGCTACAAAAATATAATCCACTATCAAAAATATAGTCTAGACTGCAGTGATTCCCGATTCTTTTTTAAGTATAACAATTCCCTTTCACTTAATTTTTTTTTATTTCTCTCAATCCCTCATGCCATTAGTTATAATTTTAGCCCCGTTTATTGAGAAAATACGTAACGACAAAAGGCTATTATGAACTCAGTAAAGCTCGGCGAACCAGTCAGTATAACTCATGAGGACACCCAGGGGTCCGCAACCTACAGTTTGGGAACTACTGGTTTAAAGAATGTCTGTTTCTTCTGATAGTGACTCCTGACAGTTTCTTTTGAGTGTTGCTCCTGACAGTTTCTTTTGAGTGTTGCTCCTGACAGTTTCTTTTGAGTGTTGCTCCTGACAGTTTCTTTTGAGTGTTGCTCCTGACAGTTTCTTTTGAGTGTTGCTCCTGACAGTTTCTTTTGAGTGTTGCTCCTGACAGTTTCTTTTGAGTGTTGCTCCTGACAGTTTCTTTTGAGTGTTGCTCCTGACAGTTTCTTTTGAGTGTTGCTCCTGACAGTTTTTCCTGACAGTTTCTTATGACAAATCCTCCCAACAGTTTTAGAATTGAGTGAAACTATAACAGAGCACAATGTTTTTTTCCGAGTACATTGACACTGGATTTGAAGATTTGAAGAGTACAGAGCTAGAACTTCAATTGCAACAATACTTACCATCTCAGAAGAGATCATAAATATAATTGCATATGAAGCCAAGGCTTCATATGCAATAATGTTTTCTTAACATCATAGAAGGAGCGGTAAACATGTGTACTGAATGACTTGACACTTGAAATCAGTGCTGACTTGTGGAAACTAATTCTGATTATTATATATGTTATTACTCAAAAAGTTGAGGAGACTTTAAACATGATGTCTCATGCCTTAAAAAAACTGGGGAAGACGTATTCCCACTCTCCACCTTATAATGACGCTCGTGTATAGTGATGTAGGGTTGGAGGTGTAGGTAGGGTTGGAGGTGGAGGTAGGGTTGGAGGTGTAGGTAGGGTTGGAGGTGGAGGTAGGGTTGGAGGTGGAGGTAGGGTTGGAGGTGGAGGTAGGGTTGGAGGTGTAGGTAGGGTTGGAGGTGGAGGTAGGGTTGGAGGTGTAGGTAGGGTTGGAGGTGGAGGTAGGGTTGGAGGTGTAGGTAGGGTTGGAGGTGGAGGTAGGGTTGGAGGTGTAGGTAGGGTTGGAGGTGGAGGTAGGGTTGGAGGTGTAGGTAGGGTTGGAGGTGGAGGTAGGGTTGGAGGTGTAGGTAGGGTTGGAGGTGTAGGTAGGGTTGGAGGTGGAGGTAGGGTTGGAGGTGGAGGTAGGGTTGGAGGTGTAGGTAGGGTTGGAGGTGGAGGTAGGGTTGGAGGTGTAGGTAGGGTTGGAGGTGGAGGTAGGGTTGGAGGTGGAGGTAGGGTTGGAGGTGGAGGTAGGGTTGGAGGTGGAGGTAGGGACCGACGACGCTGTAAAGTTTGTAATACACTATCAGGTCTGCCAGGATAGAGAGTATTGTATATCTGAGGACAGCAAGCTCATATAAATTCATATAAACTCAACACTTTTACGTCTTCTACAAGTTTCATTTATATTGTAATATCAAAATCACATAAAACACTGATCATTTATGTGCGAGCAAATTATGTATGAAAACAGTTATGAAAGTGTAATGATAATATGCAAATATTTTATTCACATGCAAATACGGTGTGTATAAATACATAAATAAATATAAATGACACTGAGCATTGTGATGTCTGTATACAGAGAAAGTAGTAATGGAAAGTAATCAATAGTTGAAGAGTAGATCCAGGGAGAATGCGAAATAATAGGATTCTTAGCGTCCCTCTCGTTCCTCGCGCTTCCTTTCCTCCTCGGCGAAGGCGATCTGGTCGAGGACAAACAGAGATTTCGTGAGGGAATTCAGGAGCCTCAGGCAACAGGTCGAACTGTGGCTGGTAGCCGTTCTCGTCAGCTACGTACTGTACTGATGCTATACTACCATCCTCCTGGGGGATAAGACATTGGTATTATATATTGGTTGTTCTTGTCAGTGATTAAGGCTTTCATGTCTAAAACATGCTCTGCTGTCGGTCTTTTGACACATTGTTGAGACCAAGTAAAAATTGTATGCAGTGTGCAGTGTTCAATCTGGATGCTAGAAGTTAATGTTTTCTGGACAAGAATACAGGCCACCGTGGTTGAAGCACCGAGACCCATGTTTGTGAAATTGTGAAGCATAAAATGGAACTTTAGCCATTGGCTTAAGAGTTAAACTTATCACGAATATGTGATGAATTGTGTAGAGTTTATCACATACTATGTTTGAGACATATATTAACATTAAGGATTGTATGCTCTTACTGATGATAACTATGGAGAACTGGAATAGATGAAAGTTAAGGGTTTGCAAGGCGAATAGTAACGATAGCAACAGTGGGATATATTTTGGGTGTTTTATCAAACGATGTTAGAGTTCAATAAACAAATGAGTAAACTGTATACCGAGGGATAATAGACCTAGGGAAACAAGAGAGGACACACAGAGTTACATAGTCTGAAACAGTAGTTAAATAAATTTATGAGTGAGACTGAATGGGGATTAAAAGAAATAAGAATGGAGAAGAGAACCTAAATAAAATGGAATGATCAGCATCAGTAGCCGGTACAAAGGACACAAGATGAAGTGTGGAGTGGTCACTCTCTCTAAAGTATTCCAGCATTACATCATTTAGATGATATTTTAGTTTTGACAAAATTTAGAATCGGGGAAGTACTATCGGATATTTAAAAATATACGATATACGATCTATCATTACACTTACCTATATGAGCCAATTAAGTTGGTGCCTCCAGTGGCACCCTCAGAACCAGAAACGTGAACTTTAATGCCGTCCTCGCTTTCAAGTGCAGAACTGTGTGTCACCAGCAGCGTCTGGGTTGGTCTGTTGACTGCTAACGATGAGTACAGGACGGGCAGGCAGCTTCTCGGCCACTGCCACAGCCACTACAGCTAAGATCACGATCTAAAATATAAAAGATAATAAATTACGAGAGATTAATAAATATCCTTTCTTTATTAACATGTTGCAGGGTTTAGGTGTATGTGATGAAAAATAACAAAAAGATAACTGATCATTCCCCAGAGGCTCAAACATGAATAATAATTTATACTTATTGGAAATAATGTTATATATATGCTTGAGATTTCCCAAAAGTCTGCCAGTGGAGCAGTACTCATCACAAACTTCATGTTGTCAGGTAGTGAGAGTATGATGGAGTCTGGGTGTGGTGGTTCACCTTTTATGCCAAGCGAGGGGACGGTCAGTCCAGGGCCACACTCCCAGAAGCTGTCCTACTGCTCTAGGTCTATGATCCCGATTTCTTTCCTCCGTTAAAGGTGGCAGTAATGTCAGATATTTTAGTGCCTGTTATCTTGCGTCATATATGTGCGTTATCACACACACACACACACACACACACACACACACACACACACACACACACACACACACACACACACACACACACACAACACACACAACAATATATATATATATATATATATATATATTATATATATATATATATATATATATATATATATATATTATATACATAATGTGTGTGTGTGTGTGTGTGTGTGTGTGTGTGTGTGTGTGTGTGTGTGTGTGTGTGTGTGTGTGTGTGTGTGTGTGTGGGTGTGTGTTCATCAGAGTACACAGTACTTTATCCATAACGCCAGACTCCAGTCTGTGAATAAATTACTGTGCACAGTGATGCAGAGTTTGCAGGTTCGAGTCCTGCTGTAGATTGAGAGATAATGTTTGTAAATAATTTCGCCCGTTTGCAAATTGTTAAACATATATACATTTATGCTTAATCGTGTGTATGTGTTGTGTGTGTCTACTCACAAAATTGTACTCACCTAATTGTGGTTTCAGGGGTCGACTCACAGCTTCTGGCCCCTTCTCTTCGCTGGTCGCTACTAAATCCACTCTCTCTTTGCTCCATGAGTTTTATCGTATCTCTTCTTAAAGCTATGCATGAATCCTGCCTCCACTACATCACTCTCCAGATTGTTCCACTTCCTGACAACTCTATGACTGAAGAAATACTTTTAACATCCCTTTGACTCATCTGAGTCTTCAACTTCCAGTTGTGACCTTTTGTTGCTATGTCCAATCTCTGAAACATCCTGTCCCTGTCCACCTTGGCAATTCCTCTCAGTATTTTATATGTCGTTATCATATCCCTCTTATCCTTTCTATCTTTCAATGTTGTCAGGTTGAATTCCCTTAACCTCTCCTCGTAGGACAAACCCCTCAGCTCTGGTACAAGTCTTGTTGGAAACCTTTGCACTTTCTTTAATTTCTTGACGTGTTTGGCCAGGTGTGGGTTCCATATTAGTGCTGCATACTCCGATAAGGGCCTGACGTACACGGTGTACAGTGTCGTGAATGACATCTTAGATGTCGAAACGCTGTTCTCGGGTTTGCCAGGCCCCCATATGCTGCAGTAGTTATTTGGTTGATGTGCGCCTCAGAGTGAGTGAGTTTTGCATCCTCTGACCTCTTAGGCTGTACTCCGTCTGCGGCCTTCTTTGTCCTTCCCCAATCTTCATTACTTTGCACTTGTCGGACCAGCCAGGCTTACGGCCTGTCCAGATCCCTTTGTAGGCTTACCTGATTCTCGTCCACATGTATTCTCATTAGCTTCACATCGTTTGCGAACAGGGACACCTCTGAATCTATCCCTTCCGTCATGTCATTCACATATACAAGAAACAGCACCTGACCTAGGAGTGATCCTTGTGAAATTCCACTCGACACACGCGCCCACTCTGACACCTCGTCTCGTACGGACACACATTGTTTTCATCCTGTCAGGTATTCCCTGATTCATTGCAGTAATTTCCCTCCTATTCCTGCCTGTTCCTCTAGTTTTTCAACCAGTCTGTTGTGCTGTACTGTGTCGAAAGCCTTCTTACAGTCTAAGAAGATACAGTCTACCCATCCCTCTCTTTCTCTTTCCTGTCTTACTTCTGTTACCTTGTCATACAACTCCAATAGGTTTATGACGCAGGATTTCCTTTCCCTAAAACAGTGCAGACTCTCATGTATGAGTAAATTCCTTTTTAAGTTCTCCACCACTCTTCCGATAATCTTCTCCATAACTTTACATACAATACATGTCAGTGACACTGGTCTGTAATTTAGTGCAGCCTGTCTGTCTCCTTTCTTAAAAATTGGGACTACATTTGCTATCTTCCACACCTCATGCAGTTGCCCTGTTTCGATAGATGTATTGACGGGTTTTGTTAGTGGCACTCACAGTGCCACTAACAACAGTATATGTATATATATATATATATATATGTGTGTGTGTGTGTGTGTGTGTGTGTGTGTGTGTGTGTGTGTGTGTGTGTGTGTGTGTGTGTGTGTACACAATATTTGTATTATTTTAGCCCAGGGTGGTGCATAAAATGTAAATCAAGGAAAGATATTTTTCTATCAGTGACGATGAGCCTCCTGCTGGTACACCAGACACCTCCTTACACTGTTGGCAAGGGCACAGCATAAGTTAGATTTAAAAAGTCTAGAGAGCTAGCATACTTGGTAACTTTAAGACCACCTTAATGAAAATTATTGTGTAACTCATTTACTTTGAAATAAATGCACTTTCTTCTATATATTGTCGGGTTTGTCTGTTACTACTTTACTGTAGCTGCCTGTGTTGGTCACTAACCGTTTTTGTCTGGTTGGACTAAACACACACTTCACTGAGCAGTAGCGAGTACACTCTGTAAGTGACAGTTATTATGAGAAACCTCTGCGCAACTTTTATGAAGAAGAAACACTTTCTTTACTGGTATGTTTGTCTGAATTAATATTTTTGTTTTCATATTTCTTTTATTGTAAGTTGTTTTTATTGGTTGTTTTGGGTTTAACATTGTTGTGAGTGTTTAGAAAAAATCTTGATTACAATTGAATGTTCGTTATAAAATTGATAATCACGTAATGGAACAAAACGTTTCAATAAAATCTCTCAATTTTTATACACTCGAGGCACTAAAATAGCTAATATGACATAGTACAAGTTCGAATGCTAATTACCGACCCAGAGGGAAGAGCATGACTCGGGTCGCACCTCAAGTGCCACAGTGCCACTACCTTTTACGGAAGAAAGAAATCGAGGTCATAGACCCAGAGTTGCAGGACAACTTCTGGCAGTGTGGCCCTGGACTGACCGTCCCCTCGCTTGGTATATAAGTCGGACCTCCACACGCTGAATTCATCATACGCTCACTACCTGACAACATGAAGCTGGTGAGTGCTGCTCCACTGGCAAACCTTTTGGAAACCTACAGGCATTTTCTGCAATTAGTTCCAGCAGATAAAATCATTATTAAATCCGAGGAGAGGCACTAAACATGTTAGCCTTAAAGTACTGAGGCATAGATGAGGTGGGGGAAATAAGATTTACTCCGAAGAAGGGGAAAAGAGTTTGTATCAAGAGCTTTTTACTAGCGTTAGGAGATCATTTATCGGTATTTTATTTCTCAACATATACCCCGTTGCCTGCAGCAAATTAGTGAAGGAAAGATATTTATGGATCTCTTTTTATTTTTTTATCTTTTGTATTCCAGATCGTGATCTTGGCTATAGTGGCTGTGGCAGTGGCCGACAAGCTACCTGCCTCTCCTGTACTCATCCTCCACAGTCAACAGACCAACCCAGACGCTGCTGGTGCCCACAGTGCTGGATTTGAGAGCGAGGACGGCATTAAAGTTCAGGTTTCTGGTTCTCAGGGTCCCTCTGGAGGTTCCAACTTAATTGGTTCATATAGGTAAGCATTATTATTTTACAACGTATCGTATATCGGCTATCTTTAAATAACCAACAGTGCTTGTCCACTTCACTTTGTCATTAAAATCCCTTCTACATTTAGTTATCTTGACATACTTAAGAAAGCTCAATAACTCTATGCCACATTTATGTCCTATATACTGACTACTGATGTTTATTTCAGCTCCCTCCTTACAAAACTGAACGTCTAAAATTGTTATATCACACCCATGAAAATATACAATCCATCACTGCCACCATTAATTTGCAGGTTAACACCATATTTGCAACCTCTTAACTTCCAACTAACCCACTTCTATATAATTACCATCTAAGAGAACATACAAGCCAACTGATCGTTGGTTATTTGCCTCACAAAAAGTATGTGTATAATTGGTATATGTTTTATTCAGGTCAGCACAATTCATACTGTTAAACTGTTCTTCCTGGATTCGTTCTGGGATTTTTGCCATCCACCTTTTTGTGCAACATATCGTTTATCTATGAAAAGTTATAATCCTAAACGTACACTAATAGCATTTAACATTCCATCGACATATGTCTCGGCGCTTCAACTACAGTGACCTGTAAACTGGTCTTGGAAAACCTAATTTGTCTTAATGCCCAATCTGAGCATTAACTTTTGACATTCAGATTATGCGCAGTATTTACATTTATTTCAAATGGCGCCCATAAAATTTGTTTTAAAACTGACAGCAGAATATGTTTTAGAGGTAAAACTTTAATGATCGAATAGAAATACAATATAAAAAGCCAGTATCATATATTGACCCTAATGAGGATGTTTCTTCTCAGCTACCCCCTGGAGGATGGCAGTATTGCATCAGTAAATTATGTGGCTGACGAGAACGGCTACCAACCACAGTCCGACCTGCTTCCCGTGGCTCCTGAATTCCCCCACGAAATCCCTGAGTTCGTCCTCGAACAGATCGCCTTCGCCGAGGAGGAGAGGAAGCGCAAGGAACGAGAGGGATGATTATGAAATCAATAATTGTCGATGAAATTCGTAGCCATCTTGAAAGGGATAAATTGTTTAATGAATCTCGACACGGTTTTGAGTAGGGGCATTCCTGCCTAACGAATTTGCAATCTTTTTTTCACTAAGGTATTTGAGGAGGTGGATCATGTTAGTTTAAGAAGCATTTAAATTTTTCATGCTCTACGAATCTATTGTTAAAGTACATTTTTCTCTTCATCTGAACTTTCTCTATGTACAGACATCACAATGCCCAGTGTCATTCATATTTATACATGTATTTATAAACACTGAATTTCCATGTAAATAAAGCATCTGCAAATTATGATTACTTTTTCTTAAACACTTTCATATATAATTTATCCACACGAATAATGACTCATATTTTATGTGAAGTTTTGATATTACAAACCAAATATCAACTTCAGCACAGCACAAAACAACTTATGTCAAGTTAATGTCACCACTAAGTATAAATTGGATGCTCTCAGTTCAGGCAGACTATTCTACTATACGCTCTTCACTCACTTTCCTCCTTAGATCCGTCACTGTGCAACCACCTCTTATCCCTTTATATACCTCATATTCTTCATCCACCCTCCCCATCCTTACATCCAGCATTATCTACTCACCACTATGCTGCATCCGGCACTCTGCACCCACCTCTATATCTGTATCTACCTGCGTCCAACACCAATGTACGCTTACCTCTACATACACCTCTATACCTACATCCACCTCTATACCTACATCCACCTCTATACCTACATCCACCTCTATACCTACATCCACCTCAATACCTACATCAACCTCTATACCTACATCCACCTCTAGACCTACATCCACCTCTATACATACATCCAGCACTATGCCCCCACTTCCAGCCGTACATCTGTCATCTCTAAATCCACCGTCATTACTTTATTGGCTTTTGGTTAATGGAGTTTAAAGCTTGTCGACTACTCGAGTTTCATTAAGGCTGCACAGTAACCTGACAAGAATACTTTAATCCTTATAATAGGCAATAAAGCATACTCGTAACATATATTCGTTGAGATAAATTCCTGCGAGCATTATGAATGAAGGAAATCTGGAAGTCTTAAGAGTGAATGAAAGAAAAATAAAAGTTGGGACAAAATGATTTAGAAGGCGATAACAAGGAAACATAAGGAGTGCAGTAGTGCAAGTGAATGAGCAATTTTAGTATGAAAATAAGGCAAATAATTGTTGAAATTCAAGAAAAGTGTTTAAGATAATAGTTGGAACTGAGATGTGTGCGGAGAAATTACCGACTTGCAATCTTCTTCAGGGATATCCACATATTCTTTGAATTACAACTTTGTTTAGCATTACAGGTATCATTAGCAATGTTCCTATATATAATGTACATTGGGTTTTCACCACGACTTTCCTCTGGGGACCTGTCACTACCTGCCTCATGATACCTAGATAACTATTCAGGTCATCACTTATTCCAGAAAAGTATTTTAACCATAATTTATTTCAATATTAACATAATGTTAACAGTGAGGAGGTATTTAAAAAATAATGTTTCATTAGATATTCAGTGGACAAAAGTTACATATGATATATCCCTGGCACAGAGTTTCAAGATACCATGGGCATTGCACTCACGTTTCTTCTTGTGATTTCATACTGTCTAGGGCTCATTATGCAGTGCCTATACACGAAAATGTATATTTATAAGCATAAGAACATCAGCTTGGAAGAGAAGATACCACATATTCGTGTGTATTTCTGTGTAGGAACAATCACCTTCGTAACTCATTCTTCTGGCAGCATCCGTAGATCCAGCTCTGTCAATTCTCTGTTGCAGGTCGTAGTCGTCACCACGATTGTTGCTAGTGATATCTTGGTTGCAGAAGAGTTTTAATACAGGTTTCGTGCGATTTAACTATATCCGACTTCAAGATGACTATCTCCTGTGACAGTCATTATGGAAGCTTCTCCCAATTTATGTGCTCAGTGGAAAGGCGAAGGGATGCTAATTTTCAATTTATATTAATGAATGCCTCATTACTCAAAGTTTAACAATATTTCAGTTATTCTTAGAATACTAAATTTGATATTTCTTTTTTTTCTGGAAGTATATTATTCTTAATAGCAATTCTCAAAATGTTAATAAATTACATTGTAATATATGATGCTTGGTGGAATTTACATGAGTGAAAGAAGTTGGTTTTGAGTGGGTCTTGAACTTTGAGTTAATAAGCTTATTCCTTGGGTAATATTGATAATGGATTGGGCGAATACCTTTGTCAGTGTGTTTGGGTTTGACACCAACCTGCCAAGTATGGGCCAATAGACCTGTTGCAGTGTTCCTCCTTATGCTCTTACGAGTAGCTGATAACGCGTGTTGATTGGAGGAATTATTCCTACAAACACATAATACATACACATTACTACATAACTTCTCATGAATTACAAGAGTTTCTTAATGGGTAGTAAAAGAACATTACCTGATAATCTAAATTCTAATTTTACTTCAGGAAATTAGAAAATTTCTGTACATCTGTACACTTTGGGCAATAGTGTTTGAATCACTAGAGCAGTGAGGAGTGTAGAGAAAATGAGTTTTGAGATTCTTGTAGGATTTGACCCTTTAATGGGAGTGCTTTAACATCATTGAAACGCCCTTAATCTGAGTAATTAGAATTATCCTCCCCTTCTTCGAATCAAACCTCAGTAACTCCCATCGTTCAGACATTATATGACTTAAAGATTTAGTGGTTCCCCATTATTATGATATTTGCGTTGAGAGTGTTTAAATGAATCTTTTGGAATTACTTTTAATGTCAGAAAAAGTGCAGATGAGGCAGTGTAAAGTTGGATGTGGGTGTAAGAATATACGTGGGAGTGGCAATGGTGGAGGATGTTAGAATGAAGATGGATGTCGTTTCAGCAATAAAATCATCATGCTAGGACAACCAACATAGAGCTGTCCAGATTATATTACACATTCCACACTTCATTACAGTTCGTAGGTTTTTTTTCCAGTATTTCCATAATACAAATAAAACGTTACACAATATTTGTGCAGACAAATTATGTTTGCTCATGAAGTAAGTATGGCTATAGAAAGAAGAATAATTGACCATTACATCCAAAAATCATGATTGAAAAAGTTATTTAATTTCCATTTCGTCCCAGGGGAGCTTCCTTTACTCTCCCGCGAAATCTGGTACAACGCGAACTGAGAGATGCAGGGAGAGAGGCAGGAGTCACGGACAGCAGGTCAGACTTTACCTAGTAGTCGTTCTTATCAGCAAGCAATTATACAGACAATAAAAAGCCGTTCTATTTATGTAAAGGAAAGAAAGCGAGGGCGTAGACCCAGAGTTGAAGGACAACTTTTGGCAGTGTGACCCTGACTGACCATCCCCTTGCTTGGTATATAAGTCGGGCCACAGCACTCAGACCTCACAGACGCTCACTACCTGACAACATGAAGCTTGTGAGTCCAACTTCAAAGACAGACTTTTGGGCACTCGCGGTCATCTGATATATTATTATTTCCAGTAGATATAAAATATTATATTTGATGGGCAGCATTAAACATTTTCATACAACCTTTAATGAATGAGCGAGGAGGGAGTAATTAGATTTGATACGAGTAACTGCAAAAGGCAACATATGCTCCATAGCCTATTCATGGATCTCTTTTAATTTATTAATAATAGTTTTATATTTCAGATCGTGATCTTGGCTATAGTGGCTGTGGCAGTGGCCGACAAGCTGCCTGCCTCTCCTGTACTCATCCTCCACAGCCAACAGACCAACCCAGACGCTGCTGGTGCCCACAGTGCTGAGTTTGAGAGCGAGGACGGCATTAAAGTTCAGGTTTCTGGTTCTCAGGGTCCCACTGGAGGCGCCAACTTAATTGGCTCGTACAGGTAAACATTAGTTATTTTACGACGGATCGTATGTCAGCTGTTTATAAATATCCAACAGTACTGTCCACCTTACTTTGTCATCACCTAAATATCTTTACATTTAAGTTATCTTGACATTCTTAAGAAAGTTCAACCACTCTACGCCACATTTTTGTATCCTATATACCGACTATTGATGTCTATTTCGGCTCCCTCCTTACATAATTAAGATCCTTCTAGAATTGTTTATATCATACCCAAGAAAATATACAACCCACAACTGCCACCATTAATATGCAGGTTAACACCATCTTTGCAACTTCTTACTTCCAACTATCCCACTTCTCTATAATTACCATCTAAGAGAACATACAAGCCAACTAGATCATTGATTATTTGTCTCACATATAGTATGTGTATATTTAGTATAAGTTTTATTCAGGGCAGCACAATTCATACTGTTAAACTGTTCTTCCTGAATTTATTCTGGGACTTTTGACATCCACCTTCTCGTGCAACATATCATTTATCATTTAACATTGTATATACATAAGTCTCGGCGCTTCAATTACAGTGACCTGCAAACTGGTCTTGAAAAACCTAAGTTATCTTAATGCCCAATCTGAGCACCAACTTTTGACATCCAGATTATGCGCAACATTTATATTTGTTTCCTATTGTGCCCATAAAGACATGAAATTGCAATGATAGGATTGAAAACAAACCAGTGTATGGTTAGGGGTTGAACTCGCGGCTAGTGAACCGTAAAACTCCACATAGGCGCATTAGCCACTGGGTCAAATGGCTACAATAAGATTCATCCAACTTGGTATATTTATATTTATACTCTATAGGAAGGTTTGCATAGGCACCACTGTGTATAAATATACCTAGTTGGATTAATCTTATTGTAGCCAGCTGGCCCAGTGGCTAACGAGCCAGTCTGGAGTTTTACGAGTTCAGTCCCCGCCCGTACCGTGGTCTGCTTCCATAAAATTTGTTTTAAAACTGACAGCTGAAATTATTTTAGCGATAAAAGTTTAATCATTGAATAGAACAAATAATATATAAAGCCAGTGTCAAATATTGACCGTAATGAGGATGTTTCTTCTCAGCTACCCCCTGGAGGATGGCAGTATTGCATCAGTAAAGTATGTGGCTGACGAGAACGGCTTCCAACCACAGTCCGACCTGCTTCCCGTGGCTCCTGAATTCCCCCACGAAATCCCTGAGTTCGTCCTCGAACAGATCGCCTTCGCCGAGGAGGAGAGGAAGCGCGAGGAACGAGAGGGACGATTATGAAATCAATAATTGTCGATGAAATTCGTAGCCATCTTGAAAGAGATAAACTGAATAATGAATCTCGACAAGGTTTTGCGAAGGGGCATTCCTGCTTTACGAATTTACTGTCTTTTTCTGACTAAGGTATCTGAGGAGGTGGA